TAAACCAGCTCCCGGGCTCTGGGCCTGGGAGGTGGGGGACGGGCCCCGGGAGGCGGCCAGGGGAGACCCGGGCGCCTGGCTGCATGGGAGTGTCCAATAGGGAGGAATCCTTAGTTTAGACACGTATGTCCCCGGTAAGGTTTGGGGCATGCTTGTATAAAACATGTTTTTCGTTGATTGAAATGCGAGTTTAACTGGAGTCCTGTATTTTAATTTGTCAGTCTCGCAATCTGTGGGAACTGGCAACCTCTATTTCTAGTTCCAGGGACTTAAGGAAGTTTTAATATGTGGACTGTCCTGTGGATGCTTTCTGCATGGGAAGCTTACGAAAGCGGTAGAATGTGATGAGAAGCAGTTTAATGAGGAGGCGTGCGGCGAAGGGGAGCTAATAATTGCACTTTATACGTTACTTTTAGCAAATCAATGTGAATTCTTAGACATGTTCTCATTAAAAGAAACAATAAACATGGAGGAAGAGTTCAGAACTGCATGGTGCTAGGAAAAGCATTTATTTCCATTACTGCCACTGAAGATTTGTCTTTCCTTAAAAGGGGAATAAATGGTGATGGAGGGAGATTTGACTTGGGGTGGTGAACACACAATACAGTGTACAGATGATGTATTATAGAATTGTACACCTGAAACGTATATAATTTTATTAACCAATGTACCCCAATAAATTTAAATAAATAAGTAAATTCTTCAAAAGGCATAAAAAAAAGATTGTCTTTTTTTATACCCTGAATTTCTGAATCCCAGTAATCTTTTCTGAGGAAGAAAATTGCTCCCTTTCTCAATACATAAACCTGATATTAGACTATACATCAACAAATATTCAGAAGTCCAATCCTCGTATATAATAAAAGGGTAATATGCAAATCAACCAAATGGAGGAACAACCAGTTGCTGTGACGTGCACTGACCGCCAGGGAGCAGAGCTCAACACAGGAGCTGCCCCGATGGTCAGTGCGCTCCCACAAGGGGAGTGCCACTCAGCCACAAGCCAGGCTGAAGGTTGGCAAGCACAGCGGCCTGCCTCCGTGGCAGTGCTAAGGATCCCTGCAGAGAGCGGGCCTAAGCCGTCAGTCGGACATCCTCCAAGGGGTCCAGGACTGAAAAGGGCACAGGCAGGGCTAAGGGACCCCCCTCCCCAGTGCACGAATGTCATGCACCGGGCCTCTAATTTAAAATATTTAAATATTCTTTTAGCCCATCTGGTGTGGTTCAGTGGTTAAGCATCAACCCATGCACCAAGAGGTCCACATTCCATTCCCTGTCAGGGCACATGCCTGGATTGGGAGCTTGATCCCTAGTAGGGAGTGTGCAAAAGGCATCAATGGAAAATGTGATGATCTTTCTGTCTCATCCATGTTTCTATTTCTCTCCTTTCCTCTCTCTCTCTCTCTAAAAAACAAACAACAAAATAATTCCCTTTAATATCCTGAATAAAATTTCTATTTTCTTTGGCAGACATGTAAATTTGTTGTTTTGTCTACAAAACAAAAACAAACAAAAAAAACCAGCCTCGCAGTTCTCCAATATTCATCAAATATTTAAAAGGAAACACAGTTTTAAAAATATATACAAGGCTTTGGAGGGAAACTGATTTGGGCTTTTTTTTTAATATATCTTTATTGATTTCAGAAAAGGAGGGAGAGGGAGAGAGAGAGAGAATCACTGATCAGCTGCCTTCTGCAAGCCCCCTACTGGGGACTGAGCCAGCAACCCAGGCATGTGCCCTGACAAGGAATCGAACAGTGACCTCCTGGTTCATAGGTCAACACTCAACCCTGAGCCATGCTGGCAGACTGATTTTTGGGCTTTTGACTGGATGTTTTCTGAAAGCTGCAAAACAGATTGTTTGCCTGCAAATGATTGAGAGTTGAGTAATGTGAGCTCAGTACCCTGGGTGGGGACTGCCATCAACCCCAAGCCCCTTGTGCTTTAACAAACACGATCAGTGTAGATTTGCCCACTGAGAAAATAAGACACTGACTAGATTTCTTCCAAGTCTCTAGATATTCATCTCCTCTGGGTTCTTTGCAAATGAAAGTGAAGTGAGGATGCAGGGAAAACTCACCTGAGCTTACCTTTCCCCTTGTATCTTCAACACATCTCTATCCTTTCCATCCGAATTCCCAAGCTCCCCCTGCCGTGTTAGACACTTTTCCTCTACATAACTTTTGTGTTTTTGCCATGGAGTTATCTCAAAGCATTTGGAGAGGGTTCTGTTTTGCTCAGAAATTCCAAATGACTCCTCCTCTTCAAATAGCAAAGCACTTAAGATCAAATTTTTCTTGAGAGAGAGAGAGAGAGCCTTCCTCCCCAGTTCACTTCTCTCCTGCTACCAGCCTTTCTCCCCTCTTCTTTATGGTTCCGTTTCTTGAAATCGACCAATTCTATCTGGCTTCCTACCCAAATCACTGCAGTGATGAACACCCACTACCTAAATCCAATGTTTCTCTGCTCATCTTTCTCAGAAGCACCCATAATGGTTAGTTGAACATCCTCCTCAGGAGTCCTGCCCCCCACCCCAGTTCCACGCAATCATATTTTTATTTTTGCTCTTTCCTGTTACTCAAGAGCAGATGTGTGGGATCTGACACTTATACAATTTGGGGCTTTGCTTTGAGAAAAAAAAAGAAAGAAAAATATCTTTCTTTTGAAAATGTTACAAAAATATATGACCATGTAAACATGAGCATAGGGCTCCTCCAAGGCCAGAGAAGGACCCAGAACGTTAAGCTTCCTTAGCTTCACAGCAGAGTTGCCTCTGTCATCAGGTCATTCACTCTTCAGTCTTCTTTGCCAACTAACCTCCTCTACCTAACTTTTTTTTTTATCCTCACCTGAGGACATGTGTTTATTTTAATTGATTTTTGAGAGAGAGGAAGGGAGAGAGAGAGAGAGAGAGAGAGAGAGAGGAAAAAAACACTGATGTAAGAGAGAAACATTGATAAGTTGCATCCCGTATGCACCCAACAGGGAATCGAACCCACAACCTTTTGGTGCATGGGACGACACTCCCACCAACTGAGCCACACCAACCAGGGCTTCTTAACCTTTAAGTTAGGGAATTCCTTATGTGATAAACCTTTTTTATTTTCACCTCTAGCTTATCATCTCTTGGTCAAGGATTCCAAAAATTTTATCTTCAATCAAGACTTCACCATATATTCGAGTGTTTATTTGACATGCCTGTTTGCCTATCTCAAACCTAGATTATCCAAAATGGAACCATCTCAGGAACCAAGATGTTGCTTCTCATCTTTCACAGTTCAGTGTCTCAGTGAATGGCACTGCCATGGACATTACTCCGTGTCTCCCACACACTAGCTTAGACCCATTGTGATACATTCTCATTGTATCCGATACTTTTGTGTCACAGTAGTCATCCTACTTTGTAATTGTATATTTAGTGTTATAATTGCTTATGTAGTATCTCCTTTCCCCCCTATAGACCATAAACTCCACAATTTAACACCCAGTTAGTTTTTAAATGGCATGGGATGAATATATGCCTGCAATAACAAACAATTTGTCTATGTATAACTTTCATGTTCTCGCCATACAGTCATTATCTCAAGGCATCCCATCGGAGAGGATCCTCTTAATGCTTAGAAATCCCAATGTATTGCTATTCTTTGAATAGCAGAGCGCTTCCATTTGTCCATTTTCCAAATCTGGTCATTCTCAAATGCAAACGAAATAGCATGAAGTGCTAGCTGCTACGAGAAATATATGTCATTTTCCTTTGGAGGACCCTGAGAATACCTTTAATAGCTGTGAAGCAATTGCCCCCCTATATTTCTCCTAGCACAGTGATGGCAAACCTTTTGAGCTCGGCATGTCAGCATTTTGAAAAACCCTAACTTAACTCTGGTGCCGTGTCCCATATAGAAATTTTTTGATATTTGCAACCATAGTAAAACAAAGACTTATATTTTTGATATTTATTTTATATATTTAAATGCCATTTAACAAAGAAAAATCAACCAAAAAAAATGAGTTCGCGTGTCACCTCTGACACGTGTGTCATAGGTTTGCCATCACTGTTCATGCACCTCTTTCTTTTGCATTTGAGAAGGACCAGATTTGGGAAATGACAAATGGAAGTGCTCGTAACGCTGAATTAGAGGCAAGTTGAAGGAAATTCCCTGGTTTACTGCAAGTATATAAATGAGATTACTGCTTTGGTCTCCTTTAGCAAAAGGAATCCTACTTTGAAGAGTAGTAAATTGGAGGACAATAAGCTACTCTGTTTACATTAGTTCCTCCATAAAATTATCCTGCCCTGGAGGATGCATCCACGCAGCAGCTCCCCCTTTTGAAGTTAACCCATATAGTTAGTGCTCTGTCCTCCTGTGCTTGTTCTAACCCCGAGGGTCTGAGATTTCCTAGAAGTAAAATTTTATAGAGAAAGCC